ATTGTTTGACCGAGTTATATGCATAGAGGGAGATAAACACATAAACGAGAAGGGAAGATTCTCATCCATAGAGCCAATGCTTCGCTATGGAACAAGGATTGTATGACAGTGACAGAGCAAAGACAGACTATTTGCATTGGATCGGTGTGATCATAGCAAGCAAACAAAGCGATTGGTGTTAAATCGGGGGTTAGAGTACGGTACGATACAGTGGGGTTTCCCCAAGCGTGCGCACGTATCATGTATGACGGCGTGGGAGGGTAACCCTGGCGCGGCATCGACGCCCGAACGTGCGATTTCGTTGACAGCGAACGCGGGCCGTAAACAACGACAGTGGAAGATTAATGGAAAATACCGTATGCCGTGGCCTGGCCCCGCTCTGCTCAAAGGACCAGGGCCAGCGGCCACATCGATCGCGGATCTGTCAACGAAATGGGAGGGAGAATAGAATGATTCGAGCCAGGAGGTGGCCTGGAATCGGGCGGAGGACTACAACTGCTGTTGAAGATAGATCTGGGCGCTCCTATGTAATAGCGCTATGCTATGTATGTTCTTCATTCCAGAGATTGGGTCCATTTCGTGTGTTGTGGTTGGAGGAAGAAGAAGTAGAGAATTTAATCTTCTCCTCAATTAATACAATTAATCTGGAAAGTAGAATAGTTATCAAGAAGTAGGTGTATGGCACATACAGCATGGAGCTTAATTCAGATTTGTACTTTCTCGGCCAACTTTTCTCTGGGGAATGGCGAAGCAAAAGGAACCAACGGCGTACAAGCCTGTGAAAATGCGCTAAGGTTCACTACAAACAAACGTGAAAATAAATATTGATGGTATTATTAATTATGAAAAATAGATCTGGAAATCTTAGACCTCATGGTAATTGAGTATTTTGTTCTGCTTTGTTAATTTAAGTGAAACTGGTGCTAGAGTGACTCTTTCAAAGGCTAGGAAGTTATGTTATGGCTGGAAAAACTCCCGCTATTTTATTCCTAAGAAACTTTTAGCATCTATGAAAGACAGTTTTAAAATCAGCGTTTCACTGCAATTCGTAATAAACATGTCGCTTCAGCGCCACTTCGTCTAATCATCCTTTCTGTGAGATGATAAAAGTGGGTTTAAGCAGACGTGCATTTCGTTTGGCGTCCTTCTAGAGGAAGAGAGATTCTGCTTCTGGAAATCTTTCTTCAAAGATATGACAAGGTTACGGTAGTTAAACACAGAAAATGAGGTTGATTCGATTGATTGTTTACTGCTTCATCCAGAACTACTATTTCTGATCTACAGAAAATCTTGAGCATATAAACTTGGAGATTAGACAACACAATTTGTGATACATTTTTCAAAATATTTAACGAAATGATCAAGCATCTTTTCTAGAAAATAAGCTATTTATCCGA